TGTGTGGTGTGTGGTGTGTGGTGTGTGGTGTGTGGTGTGTGATGTGTGGTGTGTGGTGTGTGATGTGTGGATGTGTACATGTGTGTAGTGTGAAGGCCAGGGATCAGTGTAGTCTGTCTTCCTGGATCGATGCCCACTTTATTTCCTCAGGTTTCTCATTGGTTGGTGTCAGTGTACTTTTCAGCATACTTTATTGTGTTCTGTCACCCACCACCCTTTTAACCTTTATTCCACCCACCTAATGCCCTCCAGCCCCCAACACCAGGTAGGAGAGAAAGAAGGTCAGAGGGGAAAGGGGCAGAGGCCTCCTCAGCCAACTTCCTGCTGACCATGGTCATCAGGTTCCTTGGGGCAAGTCAGGGTATCCAGCAATAGCAAGTGTAGCAGCAAGAATCAGCAGCAGCAGAAAGAGCAGCAGCTGCCACAAACCTCCAGGCGCTTGCATTTACACCCCTCAAGAGTCCCCCAGAATTAAGCTATCTGTAGCTGCCAAAAATCACGCCCCTCCTAGAGCATGAGACAATCACAGTCACCTGCTGTGAAGCAGCCTCTTATCCTACACCTGCGATAAAAACAAAAACATGTACACATGGCATAGCTGGGTTTTTAAAGAAACCAAGATTCTCACTACAGCTTGAACTGGCACCCATTGTTTCAGATGGGCGTTTGGCACATCCCAAGGATCTACCAGCTTCTGCCCCTCAGTGTGGTTATAGGTACATGGGTGTGTGACCGTAATGGCCCAGAGTTAAGGAAGAAGAGTCAAAGAAGCTTCAACCCTGAATTCCTCAGACAGGAGGACTGCAGGAGCTGGCTACCGCCTCCCTCCCAACCTGGTGACCTAAAGCTGGCTCTGCCACCATCAATCTTCATAAGAGTGTGTCACCCTGACAGTTACCAGGCTTCACTCCTTGTCTGACCTTATACGGTTCCCCCAACACACACCCTACAGACCCTAAGGACGCAGATGAAGCATCCATCAACACCCTACCCTGGCCAGTGGTGCACAGACACACAAACCTTGCCCCAGAGACCCTGGCCACCTCTCTGAGGACACAAATGCCCCTTTCTCACCTGCCCCCTTAATAAACAAACCAGTTCTCTGTCCCCAGGTGTGGGGAAAATTTAAGAAGGCCGCCACAGCGGCGCAAGCCCCGGAGGGGCTTCCGCCGCAGTGGTGGGTCCCACATTAGGGAAGAAGATCCTATGGTTCCAGCGGCCTGAGGGCCTTTGCAGCAGCAGGCCCCAGTAACACGAGGAAGTCCTTGGTTCCAAAAAGATTTATTGTCATGGCGGATAATAGATAGATCTAGGCGTACCCCCAAAAACTCAGGGCAGTCCCGAGTTATATAGGGAGGGAGAAAAGGGGGAGGATTGGGGGAGGATCTGGGGGAGGCATGTTTAATTTGCTCTGCCCTCTGGCCTTCATTAGTATGTAAATCCCTAGGGCCTGAGGCCTATAGCCTGGCCTATGTGACTCTATGGAGATCTATGTGACTGCTTTTCAGGATCCTGGATGATGGGAGGGACCGAACTCCTGCCGGTTCTCACGCAGAATTCCACGGAGAATCTCGGGGTTCTAGGTACCTGCTCAACCATGACCCAGGATACCCTTATGCAGTCCCATACCCAGGTGTGTTCTTTTTGATCCTGCACTGATCCCATGTGCCCGGTTAAGTTTTCCTCCCTCCAGTCCAGCTCGGTGTCAAGATTATAGAAGGCTGGCAGTATGGAGTCCTCCAGCATTGAGTCCTGGGGCAGTGCAGGCAACAGTAACTCTCACCTGGCTCTTGTGTGGATACGTGACCATGCAGTCGGATAGCAAGATGGTAGTGGATTCTTTGAAGGCTGGGCACGCTCTTCTCTGTGACCCGGCAAGGCAGCCCTTAGAACTCACCAGGAGGAGTCCGGTGTTCATGTAGCTTTAGTCACCTTTGCACAAACTGGCAGCCACCAAGATACTCTAGCAGGAAGTGAATAAACACCACAGTGCATTCTGGGGATAGAGCACTATCCAGCTTCAGAAGGGAAGGAAAGAGGGAGGGAGTTTTCAAGCTATCAAAAGACGAAGGAAACTTAAAGCAGCTGCTGACTGAAAGAAGTCAACCCAGAAAAGACAAAGTGGTGTGTGATTCTGACATAGTGGGAAAGACAGAAAGGGGGTGTGGTGACAGGGAGGGGTGATCAGGAGGCAGAGCACAGAGCACCAGAGGGCGGAGAAGTGACTCTGGAATGTAACCTCAGACACATGCCTAAGACTATAAGACGCACAATACCAAACATGATTTGAATAATACTTTATTCAATAATACTTCAAATCATAATACTCTTAGGATTTGAATCTGAAAGGTCCCCCAGAGGCTTATCATTTGAATGTTCACTCCACAGTTGAGGATTCGGGCCTAGCTAGCTGGAATAGGTGACAGTAGGTGGCCCTTTGAAGGTTACCCAGGTCCCAGGTTTCATTGGTTCTTTTTCCTGGTCTCTGGTGCTGTGAAGAGCCTCTACCACATTCCTGCTTCCTTGCCTGCCACACATGAAGAGTGACATGTTTGGAAAGCATGAGTTTAGGAAGGAGCTGGGGAGACAGCTTAGTCAGCAGCGTGTCTGCCTTATAAATGTGAGGATATAATTCCAATCCCACGACCATGTAAAAATGCACAGTGGCATGCACTTAAATTTTCAGCACTGTCAAGACTTGAGTGGCTGAAAGGAAAGCTCAGGTCACCCTGAGCCAGACAGCTGTGGAGCCCTTTCTATAGGCAGAGCACCAATGGTCCCCTGTGGAGCTGTGAGGTCCTTAGGCCTGGGCAGGAGGTTGTCTTCCTAGGACTTGGAAGAAGGATGGCGTCATGCCTGCAATGGGAAAAGGCTGAGGTTCCAGCACAAAGGAGCCTCCAAAACTTTCCCAGAAAACTGAGTCACAACGTCAAGGTCCCTGCATGGAGGAGTTGTCTCAAATCACACCTGGAGAAGGTGTCTCTCTTTCTGGACAGAAGATGCCATCTCCCAAGCACTGTTGGGTTCATCAGAATGTCAGCTCAGGGCTCTGTGCTTAGAGAAATATCCTCAGGGGCTGGAGAGATGGGTCAGTGTCTAA